CAGTAAATTCAGTAAATGAACTCGTAAGTTTAACCGAATTTACAATAATCAAGAGTTTAAGAGTAAATCAACACGATTTTGTTAGCTGAAAATGTAAAAACGTTAAACTCAGAGGGTCAACTCGCGAGTTTGACAAAAGTGATAATAGATACTCCTCCGGTCCTAATTATAAGACCCAATTGACTTATTTGAGGAAATTAAGGAAGTAAGTTAAGTTGGTTATTTATAATAAATAAGTGTTGTCTTTCCTAAAATATCCTTGCTAATTAAGTATATTGGCTAAAACTATCATTATTAGAAGGATCATCTTGGAAAAAAATGCATAAATATAAGAGACAAAATGGATTGGGTCTTATAATTAGGACCAAATAAAAAGTCAAATTGGGTCTTATAATAAGGACCGGAGGAGTATTAAATGTGTTTGACAGGCATGAGAATATAGTCTATTGTTTAAATTCAGCGGAGACTTTTTTATTTCTTCCCCCGGTCAAATTCAGCATCGACATAATCCGTAGTTGTTGAACGCAAAATAAGTATCGACAGAAAGCTTCTTAAAATAATTTTTTTAGCGTATTTATTTATTTTGGTTTTATTGTAGAAGTTTTTAATGCTTGGTGTATCTTTTTTTTAGCTAACTGAATGGCAGTGGAGCACTTCTTCCCATCATAATATAAGAAGTTGGTTAGAAGAAAATTTTGTTTAAAATATAAAAGGTTGGCAGGATAATTAATGATACTTTTTCACTTTTAACCCTTGTTACAAAGAGGAGAGAGAGTTTGAAATACAGGAAAAATGAGAGAGAATTTTCCAATTACATTGTTTAATAAAGGCAAAATAGATAATTTTTATCAATTTGAAATAAATTTAATAACCTAATATTTTTTGGTTTGTGAAAAAACTTAATTAACTTCTTATATTATAAACGGGGATGAGTACTAGAAGCTATGACGTCAACAGTTAATTTATTGGATAATCCAATGAATGAATTTAAAGTTTTTCACATGTATTGATGACTAATTAATTTGCCCAATATGAAAGAGGTTCATGAACATACATTTATAAGCATTTATTTGGATGTATCTGTTCAAATAATTCAATTACAATAGATGAATGCACCCCACCGTATACAGTGAATAGACGATTGGATGTGCAAAGAACTCTTGATATGATTTTGTGAAATGAAAAAGTAATTATATTTATAACTTTAGTCATCAAGTAAGATTGCGAATAATATTTTATAAGATTAGGAAAAAAAAATTGAAAGTTAAAAACAAAGGTATTAGAAAATTTATTATCATTACTTCACAATAAATTCGCAAAGATTCATGGGATCCTAATAAGAGATTCATGCCATGATCCTAGGAGATTCTTGCCATATAAGCCTTTATCAAGCACACTGGACAATTGGCTGGTAACCGATTAAAGTTTTTTAAATGATATTTTGGTATTGGACATAGGTAAAAATTGTGACATTGATCTCTATATATTTATTTAGGATTAATATAATTTTTACTCCTTGAAATTTGAGCCCATTTTAGTTTTCATCTTTCAAATTTTAAACTCATAATTTTAGTCCCTAGAATTTCGTCTATCTTAAAACGTTAATAACTAATAATACAACAGTATTAAAATCTGCTACATTAAAAGTGGTGATATAAACTCACTAGATAAAATTTAACTAAATCTTGTGTGGGTAACAGAGAGCAGCACAGTAAAGAACTCTTGAAAACAAAGAGTAAAAAAGTAAAAATAGGGGGTTAAAGAGCTACGTTTCTAGAACATGTTCTTTTCCTCCTTTTATTATCCACGTAAGATCTAGCTAGGTGCCATTGGATGAGTTTACATCACCACTTTAATATTGTTGCTGACACTTTAGTAGAATTTAACATTGTTATACTTTCGGGGCTAACGTTTTAAGATGGACTAAATTCCAGTTACTGAAACTATGTGTTTAAAATTTAAGAGACTAAAATCAAAATATGTTCAAATTTTAGAAACCAAAAATTATATTAACCCATTTATTTGTAATTATTGAAAATGGGAAAATTAATTAAAATTAATTTTATTAAAGGAGACTTATTATTTAAAAATTTATTAGAAAAATCCGTGAAAAGTTTCTGTTTGAAAATATTATTAATTAGAAGACACTGATTTGTTTTTATGGACAGAAAGTACCAATACTCTATACAGAATTTCATACAAAAAAAAATACCAATATTTAAATTCAGATCATTCTAACCAAAAAAATTTATGAACAAAAACTTTTGAGCCATTTTAATGAGACTTATTTGTAATTTTTCTCGTCCCCGTTAACATTTAAAGTACCGTCTGTTTAATTGAGGGCAATATGATTTAAATTTAGTTGCCCCACACATAAAGGCTTCCGAAACCTAGTTAATTTTTTTTTTTGAGCAAACAAAACCTAGTTAATTAAAAATAATAAATTTATTGTACATGCATGGATCATTGACAAATGATAACATTTTTTCAAACAATTGATCTTTTAAATGCAAGGATTGAACTTTGATTTCATCTCTCTCTTCTAATGTCTTCTATTTCGCATGATAGTAACTACGGTAGTTAATATAAAGGCTAATTGACTAATTTGATTATATTAGGAACTTTAACTAAATTAGTTATTTGTATTAATATATTGTCTTTCTTAAAATATCTTTACTAACCAAGTGTATTGGCTGGAATTATCATTATTGCAATAAGTACTTTAAGAAAAAATAAATAAATATGAGAGATAAAATAGATTGGAGTCTTATATTTAAAACTAAAATAAATGTCAAACTAATTTTTATATCAAAGATCGGAGGTATAACAGTAAATATGTGAGAATAGTTTGCCAATAAATACCGGATTGGGTCTAGCAGAAGGAATAATGTCTTGAACCGAACTGAAGGATATGTGTGAGGATAATTTTGTTAGTACAACTAAAAGTGATTTTTGGGTTCTATCTACAGCCCCATCTGCTTCCTAACGCGAGCATGGTCTCTCCGCGTCTCCGACCTTGCCCTTGCTTAATTTGACCACACCAGCTATGGTTCTCAATATGAATATCTTTTCCTAAATTACACAAGCAGTGGATATTGGTGTATCTGAATTATTATTTTTAATCTGAATATATTTTTTAAAACTGATACTGTTTGATGAATTTAAATACCTTTTTCTTCGATCTAAATGTTTTGTCATATTTTTCTTAACCAGAATTACAAGTGTAATAAATTAAGAAAATCATATAAATTAGTTAAATATAACAAATGTAATATGATTCCCATAAAATACTCATGTATAACACTGTACTACCTTGGTTTTTAATTTGGCCAGATAATTAATTTCTGAATATTAAAAAAATTAGTTAAATTAGTTATTTGTAATAAATGAATGTTTTCTTTTCAAAAATACATTTATCAATGATGTACATTAAAAGTTGAAAGTTGAAACTACTCATTGTTGCAAATCCTTAACATGTGAAATCAGCATGGATATTACTTATGAGTAAAACAAATAAATATTGAAAACAAAGTAGATTGAGATTTTATAGTCTCTCTGGTCTTTATTACAGGAGCTCTTTTAGAAGAAATTTTTGTCCTTTTTTCGAAGATTCTTTGGTAGTTTCAATGAATATTAAATAATTTTCTTTTCATACATGCCCATATAAAAGTTAGTGTAATTAACAAGGGTAATGTTGGAAATCATTTGAACTTTATGACAAATTTAATGTTTTTAACTATTTTTATTGGTACTGAATTAATTAATGGGTTCTTATAATAAGGATCACGAGGACTATTTAGGATTAAATTAAATCTCCAACTAGCTCTTACATTAAGAATTGAATCAATTATAAGTTAGATAAACTAACTGGGAAAAAAAATACGAGAGATAAAATGAATTTTTTTTACTTGAATTAAGACCATATATTTAAGACTAAATCTAATCCCAAACTAATCCTTATATTAAGAGTGGGAGAGAGTATTGCTTTCATAAACTTGGAATGTTAGGATGTTACACAGGAAGAAAGAAACATGAGATAAACTTGAAATATTAAGATGTTACATAGGAAGAAAGAAAGATGAGAATAGACAAGTTTATCTAAGATTATTGTTCATGATATCTGTTATAGGGAACGCTTCTTACTGTAAATCAGACAGCAAAGAATCTTTGGCATTGGTCCATCCTCCGCAAGATAGCAGATCAGTTGTTTATTTAAGTGTAACCTTCATCCATATCAACAGGAGAAAAACCAAGGTGGAGTTTTTTGGAACCATCATGACTATTATTCCAATCAAATTTTGCCAATTCTACTTTTTTAACCCTTCATACATTTAACTCCAAATGCAGATGTAGAGAAGGAAGGGCACATGGCAAAATTTGATTGGAACAGAGGATTCAAATTAATATATCTATAAAATCCACCCCCCTCGAGCATCCTTATAAACAAACAGTAAGAGGCTTATGTTTGGGCTGAGGCTTGATTTCAGCACCACCACATCAGCGTGATACCAAATAATTAAAAGAAAATTACAGAAAAGAGAAATAAAAGATAATAAAATGAAATAAAGAAAAATAAAAAATAGAGATTAAAAATTTGATTTCTTTAATTTCATCTAAAACTTTCAATTGCTTAAGAAAGAAAAATAAAAAAAACAAATAAGAGAAAAGGAAGAAAAATATAGCATCTTCATAGAAGAAGTAAAAAAAGAAAAAGAAAAAGTAATTATTAAAAATAATAAAAATATTTTTTATTAAGTTAAATCAAAAATATAAACTTACAAAATCTTTCCTTTTTGGACTAACATCCTAGAGATTGGGTAAATCTAATTTCTAATATGACAAAAAGTTACTGCTAAATTATCATTATCATCAAGAGATTCCGTTTTAATATGAGGTGAAATGCATATCATTTCAACGCATCAGACCCAACAAAACCCTTGCCACTTGTTCATTTTCATCACAGTTCAAATAGCAGGGCAAATAAGCTCATGCACAGAGAATGGAGTATCAACTTTTACATTGAATATTTATTATTCGAGGATTTATTCAAGTTTGACTATCAACTTTCTAATGCTATCTGAAGTAAGCCTATACAGGAAGTATGAAAAGTAACGCAGGGATACAATAAACAAGAAGAAGTTAACCTGACAAGTCCTTGTCACTGTTGAACATATTGAGATATACTGAACTGATACAGACATATTATGGCCAGTCAATGGATTCTCGTGATTTAAAGTCGTCATCCGACATTGAGATTCTGGCATTATTTCATGGTTGAATGCTATGTTTAAGTCATTAAGGAATTGCTGATATGATGCTCTAAAGCTTTGAAATGGCCCATGCAGGCAAATTATTGAACCTTTTGGGAAGCCGTAAGTCGTTCCACCATTCCTCGTCCACCTTGGAGAAGTATATGTCAACGTCTCTATCAGTTACAAGCTCCAATTTGGAAGGCTCCCACTGATAAAGATATAAAAATGTTAGAGACTGTGGAGCATTAGGATTCAATAAAGTAAAGCCCTGCTTTGGTCCCTGATGGAGAGAGAACTTTCAATGTGGTTCTACAGAGATCCTTACTCTCAATTTGGTCCAACAATTATAAAAATGACAATAATCTTGTCCTTTTTTCTTTTCTTCATCTAAAATCTAAAGCCTGCTGACTACAAGGCCAGAGTTGAGGGGTGAGTTAAAAATGCAGGGTATTCAAATAAGCTCAGGTCAGCAGATTACTAGGCTTAGCCTTAGATTTTAGATAGAAATAGGATGAAATGTTGTCTTTGTAAAGATTTTAATGACTGACGAACCAAATTGAAAGAAACGATTGATCAAGTTAAAAGTTTACCAATCAATCAAGGATTAAGATAGACAATCTAGTATCAGTATGTGCATAAATGCCGAATGATGGCACACAATCTGACTAATCACAAACCTTCGGGTTCCTATCTTTATCCAACAGTATAGCTCTACAGCCCTGCATACGCATGAATATGATGTGTCAGACATGAATGAAGTGTATTATAAAAGAATATATATATATATATATATGTATATCATTCAAAGTCAGCTGAAAACCTCGAAAAAATCCTTGCTGAAGTCTCCTCGCAAAACATGACAGACAATTCTATACTCAGTAACAAGGCATTGACCAACACCTTGAACCTTGCCTTCTCTAATCTGGAATTACCAAGAGAAATAAAAATAAAAAAAATCCTGAGTTTTGTACAAAGCTCCTCAGGAAAATTCACATAATAATAACAACACCACCAATAAAGTTCAAACATTGTATTAACATTTGCAAGCCAAACTGTAATCTCCATTCAGATGAGGTCAATTACAATTGGCGACACTTTAAGGAGTTGATACCGTTCAAGTTTTACAAATTAAAAAGAAGCTCCCCTTATTGTTTACTAATTAGAGTTTGACGTACCAGCGTCTTCTAATCACTAGAAATATATTGCAATCATAGGATTGCAAAATCACTAAGAGCGAGAGAGAAGTACTGGCGGAAGGGTTTCACTTCCTCTGTATTTATCAATATTCATATTAGAAGACCATGGCGTATAGTACAACAATTCAGCAATGTTCTCATAGAATTACACCCCATCAGTCCATGCCCCATATTCTGACATTCCCTTCAATTCACTTTCATCCTTTTTCATTTCCAAGACAACATAATCATCAGAAAAAAATTATGATAATCATGTTTCTATTGGTCATCGCTTGAACAGTGGTGAATAATCGAGAGGGGTTTAGAAGAAGTCGAAAAACAACGGATCAACTACGACCCATCCACCTGTTTACAATTTTGAAGGTTATTGCATGATTTATTTATTGCAGTTAGCCCCAGCCTACCTACCCACCCACTAATCCATTTATATATTTTACATCTTTAATCATTTAGTACAAGAATTATTATTTTTTAAATGCCATTGTCATCATACTTTTTCTTTCAATCCATTTGACTATAATAATAAATTGAAATCAAAGCAAGAAAACAAAAAGTGATTAAGACGGCACAGAAACCATAAATATCGTGATTTTGGACGGTAGTTTGTCATTACAAAAGGAGTGGGGAAGGGAAGGCTTGAGGAAGATTTCATTTCACAATGTAATTACACAAACATATGCATATGCTGCCAATGGTACAATCTACCTAACAGTTTAAGTGGGCAGCTAAAATCAATTTGTTTTTCCAAGTAGATCCAGATTACTTAATTTCTGATTTTAGGTCAACTGACTCATGTTCAGGCTCAAAAATAAAAATTAGCTCGTGAAGGGAAAAATTTAAATCGAGGGTCCAAATTTAACTTTTTATTGCTTTCTCCATAAAGGATGAAGTGGTTAGATGTAGGTGAATAGTTAATCATGAGTTGACTTGTTAAAAGCCATGTTGAATTTCTACTGATCCCACACCTTCATCCAGCAAGCATAAACCTAAATAATTAGATAGTTGTCAACAACTGAATTGAGGTGGTAGTTATGAATCATAAGTGAGATGGTTTTCAACTGAATAAAAGCGATAGTTAGGAATCATATGTGCCATCACTAGTCAGCTCTCTCGTAGCTCATCTTATCCATACTCAGCTTCTTAATGACCACAATCAATTATTCTAGATCGTTCATAAATGGAGTAGACAGCTGACTAGGGATCATTCACATCATTCATAAATATCTAAAGAGTACAAACTAGTAGGATAAGGCTATGCTGTTGTTGTGTTCATAAATAGGATAGAAATAAAGGGAATTATAACACATACCAATCTGAGAAAGATTTTAAGACTTGTTGGAGATGCCTTCTTCAGAGACTGAATAGTTGCAGATATCCAATCATCAGCCGTATTCATCGCTTCCCTCTCCTGAACCATTAAAAGATAATACTTGACCAAATTTCATACTTGACAAAAAAACAAAATTAGCAGAACAAGATTGTCAGTAGATAAGATTACAGCTGAAGACATACAAGAGAAGATAATATTTCTTCAATTGTTCTTCGAGAGAAACACTTATTGATTATATCCAACCTGCAGTGCATAACCATTACAAGATAAAAGAAACAAACAAGGCAAAGGTGATGACTTGTGTTTCAAATTGAAACACATCAAGAAAACATGCAGCTTGTTTTTGGGGGGAGGCGGGAGAGGTTTACGCATATGAATAGAAACTATACCTTTATAAGCATCATTTTTATATAATATACAGCCTAGGCTCACATCAATATACATAAGCAGTACATTGGATGAGTATGAAAAAAAGACATCCTGGCTTTTGTAGCTTCAAGTGAAACAAAGAATATCAAGAAATGAGACCGGTGGGGTTGCCAGAAACGTTTCCAGAGCCACAAAAAGTTAAGGGGAATCAAGCATAGATTTTTTGTGTGGTTTTCCTTGGCCACATGAATTGGACATGGGAATAGTTGTGGTGAATCATTTAACTAAATACAGCGCCTCAATTGCTCCTCCTCACAATCTCAAAGCAAGGGAAGCAGTTAATCTGTTTAGTGTTTACCAAGGGGAAGCCTTTCTCAGATAAGGATGGGATTTTCATTAGCCAATTTTGGAAAGTTATTCAACAGCAGGCTACTTTGAAGGCAAGTTCACACTCTGGGAGCACTTTGAGAAATTTTGACAAAAGCTCAAGCACAGATCCTCCGTATATGTGCATGTGCATGCACGTATTTGTACAAATGTGCTTGTCAATTTACATATATTTGCAAACCTTGTCAACCAAATGTTTGTATGCATGTGTATGTACACACATGCATGCATGTGCATATGAGTGTGCTTTTGGGAGCGTATCACCCGCTAACCTGTGATAAGCACTGTTCTCCCTTAGCAAGGGTTGCTCAGAGTATTTATCAATGATAGCAGATACCGCAGCAGTATCACTGGATTCTACTTTGCATAAAGCTTCTTCCAATGAAGTCAACTTCTGCACAATGATTATAAACGGAAACAAATAAAAACCACTAATGTCTACTAGAACAGAGCAAAGTTCCAACGAAACAGTGCAGCAATCATGTCAATTTTCCATAAGGTTATGTAAAACTATACTATGGTCACAAAGATATGCCTGACTGTGACACAGGAAAAGTCTGGCATTTACAACTCAACTCACCCACGAGACAGACTCACACATTAATAAATGGACACCAAACTTCCAACTTATATCTGTAATACAAAAGTAACTTCCAACGAAAGAGGACTAAGTGTCCATTACAGACAAAGTTCAGACTAGTGTTAGGGCAAGAGGGGAAAAAAGGGGTTAAGATCCAATTTTGCCTTGATGTTTACGCCAGAAGCTATGGTAACCAAAATTTTTGTTCGATCAATATTGCCCTGAGAGTGTTAAAAAGGAGCAAAATTACCCTAACCATGAGAAAAATAACATTGACCATTAAAAAAACTAGCATTGACCATTAACATTTTTAGCAGCCAGGGATGACGTTCTTTTTTAACAATTTCGGGGCAATATTGATCTAACAAAAAATTTTGGATACCTGCAGCTCTTGCATGAAAACTTTCAGGACAAAATTGCACCATGACCCCCCCACAAAAAAAAAAGAAAAAAGAAAAAAAATAATCCATAACAACATAAGACTTAATATTTTAAGAGTATGCAAATGAGGGAGGAAAAAGCTGAAGATTTGTTTGGTACACAGAACTGTTAGTATGTGAAAGGAAAGAGAGCAAGACTATGAAATAAGATTAACAGCTAACTTCAAATAAGTGTGTCAATCATTAGTGGATCAGGCCTGCATTGGTTGTACTGTTCTTTTTCACCTAATCTATGATCCTAAACAGATGCGCTCACAAATCTTGACCAAGTTCATTTAGTAATCATGTTGAATCTCCCCTTGTAGTGTTACAATAGGAAAGCTAATTTAAGAGCAAGGGGAAATCAGCATCAACGGCCACTTAAATTCATGCATCAGCACTAGTTATTTTTTCTTTTCTTTTTTTTTTTTTTGGGGGGGGGGGGGGAGGAGTGCAAGAAAAAAGTTTGATGAAAAGCTATCAAGAAATGATACAGGCCGCTCCATGATGTAAGTCTTAATTGGAATTCCAATACATCAACTTCAAAACGTAGCAGACCACCCCGTTGAACTAAGGTTTAATGACAACTTCAGCTCATCATTTTTTAAAATGTAACAAAGCATCAAATATTCTTGGGAGAAAACGACAAAAAGAATACTCCCCCTCATTCTTTTACAACATTAAAAGATCTTGTACACATTTTCTATGCAAATACTCCTGCATTCCCTCAAGTTGGCTTTCAAAAGAATGGCTAAACCCCTTGTTAGGCTGAGGAGCTAGATTATGTGGCCTCTTTTTTATGTTAAAAACCAAGGGCATTGGGTAAGAATTTAAGGTTCAAGTACTTAATAGACAGGCTGAGTCGCAAAGTCTAGATGCTAGAAAAGTGAGATAGATTTTTTACACCTAAGTTATCACAGCAAAATCTGGAAAAATTCTATGCCACTTTGGAGGGCATATCTAAGATGAACCCAGTCCCTTTGATCTGCATTGGATACTGGGTCCATACCCAACCTTTATAATGAAAATAAACAAGCAAGAAATAAATAGAATATTCTGCACATATGTATCTAGCCCATATCATACACATTAGGCAAGCTATAATCCAAAATCACCTTCATAATTCAAATCTACATCTACACGTTATTAACTACAAAGGATACCGATGAGTGCACAAAATGTGTTGCAAGGCCACATGCAAGCAATTCTGCACCATCCAGCCTAGCACCCGTAAGACCAACATATTCTCCTGCAATTTGTTTTCCAACAGAGGGAAGGAAAGAAAAGCCAAAAAGGAACGTCATTACAGTATTTTCTTTATCTATTTGGGAATGCTGATAAGTAGTTTGAACACTAATGAACAATTCAAATGAACACGTATCAACAAAGACAACATTGCAAGACCAATGAAAACTTTGGCCTCTCTGCTCTTCCCTAGTAATGAACCAGACACATTTATGCAGAGAAACTCACAGGTGGTAGAGATGGTGAGTGTATTCAATTTAAGGATAGTTTTCTAACGGGTTAAAAAGTACTACATTTAAATATTCACGGGATTGAAATTAAGGACATGACATCATACCAAAAAATCCAGGCAGTCTAGACAAGAAATATGAGGCACCCACATCAGGAAATAGTCCTAAAGCTGTTTCTGGCATTGCAAAGACCTGAAAATGGTCTATCATTATATTGAGTAAAATCATGTAAACAAAAATTTAAGCTAATAAAACATTTGGATAGAAAAGCAGTTATAGTCATACTAGCTACAGTTACAATAAAAGACTTTACTCATCTTATATATGTATAAAAGATAGAATTCAATATATCACCAATTATATCAGACAATTCTTTGAGTAAGACAAAGTATAGAATTTAGTATCTCATACTGAATTGGAAACATACGGTATTCTCTGTAGCAACGCGAAATCTACCATGAATAGAAGCACCCGCACCACCTCCCATGACAATTCCATTAAGAATTGAAATCTTCAAAGTTTGCAGACCAAAATATGAAAAATTTCATGCATCAGAGTGATGAATGATAAAATAAAGCCGACCAAGAGTTCCTTTCATTAAGAAAATTATCACCTGTGGTTTACTGTATGTTGCCATCAAGTAATTCATTTGATATTCAATCTCAAAAAACTTTGCACCAAGCTTCCAGTTATCTATTTCAGAGAAGGTAATGAGATTAATTTTGCATTATTGTTAAATCCTACCATCAAAAACTTTCATATTAAATTTACTAAAGTATCTCCACTAATAAGCAATCCAGCAGAGGCTGCAAATTCACAAAGGTAAGCTTAAAGTAGCACAGAATTTGAGATACTAAGCTTCCATCCAAAAATGAGATCCTAATTATGCATGAATATTGAGGATTTTTCAGGTAACCTAATATGCATCAAGGTCAAAACATACCTCCGTTGGCATAACGAACAACAGCCGCAACATCACCACCAGCACAAAATGCCCTTCCATTTCCCTGATATTTAAACAAAAGATACATGATGAAAAGATGATGCCCATGATCTAGCTAGCCCCCCTTTATGTTCACAATTTACAAAATTACAAAAGATGTTTGAATGGCAGAACTCGGCCAAATATAAAAATAATGTACAAAACTACATGGATATTTTATCAGGTATAGAAATCCTCAAAGATGATGAGAAACTAATCAACTATGCGAGGATAAAGAACAAATCCTACAAATCAAGAGATAATAGACTAAGAGTTTGTAAACAAGTCTACAAATCAAGAGATAATAGGTTGAGTTTATTATTATGTAGGAGTCATGAGTCATCACTTCTTTTACTCTAGAAGTTTAACTTGTAGTGAGGATTTATATTCAGATTTTTTTAGTATTATAGATAAAGGAAGGATGCAGACCATCATAAGGAGGCCCAATCCATCCCAAACCCCCAGTTTCTAGGGGATAGGGAAATAGAGTGTAGGGTAGGCCAGATGGATTCCGAGCCATCCTAATCCACCCCACTCCTTTACCCTTCACTACCCTCTAAACAAAAAAATAGCGAAGAAGACTAAGACACTTCACTCAGCCCCTCAACCACACCCCCCCCCCCCAAACCAGAAAAAAGAAAAAAGAAAGATGCTACTCCTAAAACATCTTTCCTATTAAGCCCCTAATTCTACTCTTGCAAATCACCAAGTACATGAACAGGAATGGTCACTCCATTCCATCATTCTTCCATCCTCACTCTTATCCCAAAAAAGTCAATAATAAAAGTCAGATGTAATAGATCTGTACTGGTGCCGAAAGAGACTATTCATACCTTTCAGTTTGCTAAACATCTGCAGAGACCTCTACGTTCCCAAACGAATGTTTGTTAATTAATGAAATAGTGAATTGTTCGTAAGTATTCCTAGGCCTGTTTGTAACAACTATCTATTCATTTGAGTTTGTAACCAAATGGAATGGATCTCTCTCCCACTGTTCTAAGTCAGTAAAAGGGGTCCGAGGAGTCAGCAGGAAGTTGTGGAGATAATTATATTCCAGTTAGGAGTCCAGATGGAAAAAATGATCATATCCTATATGACATAAATTTCCATTTCAGCATTGCTAGGACTTGCTTTTATTTCTCTGTTGAAAACAGCACTATAGTTGCACTCTCAATGCACGCTACCTTCATGACAACCAGTTTCACATCAGAATTTGACTCATAGTCATAAAAAAGCTCCAGAAGCCGAGATACCTACATTAGGAACAGACAGGAAAACAAAGAAAGTTAAAGGGGCGAAAAAGTATATATAGAACTGGAATTCAACCAATAGAAGAAAAACTTCAAAAGACAAATATATATAATAAAAAACGGTACTTCTTATGACATTGTTAAATATTATTTTGAATTCAGATTCTGGGTCCTCAGGAGTATCCTGGATATCTAAGTCAACCTAAAGTAAAAGGAAGCAAATAATAGCAAACAATAAGAAAAAGTTAAAAGGAGTGTAAGATAATTTAAAACTGAAGGCTCAGTGTAAGCTTCAGACTTCGGCATTTTGCATCGCGTTTGCCATAAACTGATATTCCAATCATATTAGTACGAAACCTCCCCACTTAATGGGATAGGGCTTTATTGCTGTTGTTGTTGTATTAGTACAAAACCCAAGTCATTCAACAAATAAACATGTGTAAAAAAGATAAATAACAATAAAAATAATGTATCAAGAAATATTAGAAATGAGTGTTATACCATTTGAAAAGACAAGGCATTCAACTGCTTCGGCCTGTTTAGTATCAGAATTCTCGCAGACAACTTATGTTCCACCAGAATCTGTCTCTCATACACATACAGGAGAGAATCAGTAAAAATTCAGAAAGAGAGAAAGAAGAAGAAAAAAGGCCAATATAGTTGAGATACTCCAAGAGAATCAACAGAGGAATATTGCATCACAAAGACCATCAAAGCCTCATGAAAAGTGAAAAGTCACATAAAGCAGATGTGTTATTACAATGAATCCTCTTAGTCATAATAATGAAGTGAAGAAATGATTTCAACCCACTGATGAAACGTCATATTCAAAGCAGTCGATGACATAATAATTAACGCACCTATTCTTAATCAATCAATAACCACAGTTAAAGGGCCCATTCCCCCCTCTTACCAGTTGAAAAGAATATCTTCACATAAAAAGAATTCCGTATCAAGGGAGAAAAGCCACTGCGTGAAATTTTGCTTAGGATGGAATTATAAGGAAATAAGAGTAGATATACAAAATTTAAGGGGGGGAACCGAACTATTTATTTTTTAATTTTGTAGTCATAAGCAACTCTTCATATATTTGAATAGAAATTGAAGCAAAAACATAACAATAAAGTGATAGAAACGTCAACATGGTTCAGAACACAAATCCAAGTAAAACTTTTTCTAGAATATGAATGTAATTAGCTGATTAAGCACTGACATGTTCAGGTAAAATGGAGGTGACATAAAAAGAGAAAATGAAAAAGAATACCCAAAAACAGGATATCTTGAATTATCACCAGAACAAGATTGGCACCCAACCCTCGAAAACAATAAGCATGAGCGTCCCCAGTCCATTCCATTGACAAAATGTCACCGATTAGGAAGAAAAATAAAACAAATAAATTAAAAAAAGAACAGGATTTCGAGCCTGCTCCGACTTTGTACAGTCTCCAAACAAAGCAAGTGAATTCAAAATCTACAAGTGTATCATTTGAAGGTAAACAGACCTGATCATCGTCGCCTTTGATGAGGGAACTCATAATTTGTTAACTTGAGAAAAGCTGTTTGAACTCAAACACTGTATCGTCCGGCAGTAGACAGGCAATATGCGACCGGTGAAAGGATTATGAATAAATAGTTGTCCATTTAATCATTTAAAAATGATTTTTCCAGAAATTTTGGTTAATTTTGATTTTTGATGGTCGGTAGTTTTGTACTTTTCTCTATTATTTTCTTAACAGTTATTTTACTTGCTTTTCATAAAACATATTATTACTGTTTTTATTTTTAATTTTAGTTATATTTTTACTACAAATTTTTGTATTTTTCTGATGTAATTATTTATTTTTTAATACAACATAAGAAAATAGTCACTTGAAAAATGTCTAATTATAGTATAAATGAATATATAAAAAATGTATACAAAATGTTGTCGTGCGGTTAAATTAGTTTTACTAGGTATTAGGGTGCACGTATTTTATATTCTAATTGGAAGCCAAACATTTAACTTACATTTCACAATGTTAAACATTACATTTTCTCTTAACATATTTACTTAATTTTTAATTAATTTATTTTATGTTTGTCTTTAAACTCGGACCAAAAATAAATAAAAAAACATATTATAATATTCTCCCGAGACCTTTTTATGAGGACATGTTAATTATATTTATGATACTCAAAAAATTTAATTACCGTTAGTTAATTGTAGAGGAATGGCACTTTCGAAAATTAATTGTCAAAATTTCATTCAATTTTATGAAGTTTTTATATTAAAGACTAATGGATAAAACTTTATAACTAGTACAAAGTCTCAAATTCAAATCCATGTGAATGCAGAAAACAATGCGCGAATCTGATTCAATCAAATAGTCATCTAAAATAAAAGAACTCTATAAAGAGGACTAGAAGCAGTTTAGTATTATGGATTGAATTATAAATTCTTTTTGTTCTGAATTGAAAAGAGAAACAAGCTAGTTTGGAATCGTTAGGAAATAGTAAGGTTAATTACAATTTATAAGAGATATTATCCACAAATCATAAATAATATTACCTCCGATCTTTAATATAAGATATCGTTTGATGTTTATTTTGATTCTAAATATAAGACTCAAATTCACTTTGTTTCTCATATTTATTTTTTTTTCTCAAAATAGTCCTTTTAATAGTGATAATTCTAGTCAATACACTTGATTAGTAAGAATATTTTAGAAAAGACAATACATATGTATTTCAAATAACTAACTTAACTTGTTTTTTTAATTTTCTCAAATTAGTCAACCAACTTTTATAATTAGGACCCGAGGTAATATAATGCATTTTTCTTATAAAAATGGGAACATTACAGGGAACCTATCTTTCTAGCTGTAAGGGGGATCAGGTCATCAATGAATTTGATGGATGGAAAAGCATTATGAGAATTGTTTGGTTAGTGTTTTGCCATTTCTTGTGAAGCCTTCTGTTGAGCTTTGGCGGCATGTAACTCCATTGCAGCTTCAGCCTCTTTGGCTAATCTAATCTCATGAGCTACTTCCATTCTTGCTTTTGCAATGTCCTTCTCTGCCTGCAAGTTTTCATAAATGGGATTCACCCAGCTCAGAAACTTCTCAGCCACAAAAATAATAGGGAGGGGGAGAATGTTTGAATTACACAATCGTCCATTGAAAAATTTTACTCTCTCTTATTCTAAAGGTAAAAGTTAGCTAACAAAGTTATAGAGATTAGAAAAATTAAGTTATTTATTTATTAAAAAAAAAAAGTGTGTCAGTCTTCTTAAAATACCACATTTAATCATTTATATTAAAATCACTCCTATTGATGAAAACCCCATTTAATATGTGCAATTAATTAGGAATCATTTAGGAGAAAAAATTATAAATTTGAAAGACAAAATGAATTAGGATCTTATACTTATGGTGAAAATAAACTTCTCAACTAGTTATTACATTTAGGATGAAATATCAGAGGAAGTAATATTTTTATACAAATGTATTTTAATCTAATATCTCTGAATTTCACTACAATTTTAGTTAGTTATTTAATATCTTTCCTAACTAGCTATGTTAAGATTATCTTTCAACCCCTCCTCACTAGATTTGCTTCGTATAAAAATTTTCAGGAATCAAACTCCTACCACTCACACCAATTTAAGGTAATGATTAGTGTATACGATTTTAGAGGACAAATAATTTGAAATGGAGAGAATATTTTGTTCGGAGAAAGACAAGGAGATATCAACGAGGTGTGTGTATTAACCTATTTCTTCTATATTTCTTCATTGTCTCCTTTTTCTTAACGAAACTGGAATAAAATGAATGTCCTACCTGTTCTTCAGCCTTTGCTTCGGCCTTGGCGCTGCGCAAGGCGGTCATATCTTGTATTTTCTCTTTCACAGCCTGCATTTTTATTATTTTATTATTTTGCTTCAATCAACTTTGCAATAAAAACCCAAAGATGCAAGAAGATAACACTGCAAACTGCTTCTTATATTTTGGCTTAGAATTGAAAAATAAAAAGGCTAAATATATTTATTGGCTCTCATTCTCTCCTTCTCTTTCTCAACTCTATGGTTCTTTCTTCTACCACTTGTCAATTATACACCCACATACCATATTTTATCTTCCCAAGATAGAAGAAATATACACGTATGTAAGATTTCGTTTTTCAGAAAAACAAAAGCTTCTCCTATAATTAGGAATTGACCACAAAATAGGAAATTAAAAAGTGAGAATGGTATGCTTAACAAGATACACACAAGCTTATTCATTGTGAATATTTGAAGCTTGATTTTCAGCTTAAAGAAAGCGTGCAGATATAACAGTAACTTCCATATATTTAAGCACTTACACGATATTTGAAAATCTTTCTACAAGCCATCACAGAGTTGACGAGAACACCAATCTGGCCAATTTATTGACCTATTTTACATGACTTGGCCGATCCTCCTTGGTCCTAGCTTCCACGATAAGTAGAGAATGAGAATGGTGAAAGCAGCAGAGGCACATGAAAATGTTGCCTTGTTTGCGACTGCCGGATTTCGAAAACAATCGATACGTATGGAAAGAAACCATTTGGGTTGTAATTCCCAGTGTTGAAGCTTATCCTGTATATCCCCGGATCAATGTCATCAATTATTCTCATCAATTGACCACTACGACCATCAGAATCTGTAGTTGAAGACCCTTGAAACACCCAACTGCCACTATCCATTGCTCCAAAGGTTGGACGAGTTTGTGTGTTCATCCACTTCTCCAAAAGCACCTCGATCCCCGAAGCCGGAGAACCTCGAGAAACATCCAACACATGAGTGGTAATAGGCGGACGGTTTCTAGCATGACTTTGAATTGGTTTTCCAGTTGAAGCTTCTGAAGCAGCATTCACATGATCGCCTATAATGCTTAAACGACCTTCTAGCATTGTTAAAGATGAAAAATCAAAATAGGCCAGGGAAAGGGAGAAAAATTATATGATCAGGAAAGCGGTTGAATACATCATTGAGTGCCAAATGTTCTAATCGCAATTTCCTTAGGAAAAGCATAATGCTAAAATATTGAAGTTTATTTTTCCGGACCAGATCATCAAAACCATGAAAGAACAAAAAGAAGCTAAATCTAAAAGACCAAAACAAAAAATTGAAAGGGAAAAACGGCTGGTGGGATACAAAAAAGGATGAGTACTCATACAAGCAAAAGAGACATGAGAAGCCAATGCTGGACCTACGGAAGTAGGTGTTGCGTAACATATGACACTCGTCACACTCATAGTGCGGTAAGGTAAAGGGAAAAAAAAGTACGAAGATGGTTTTCCAAAATGAAATTCGAGCATAAAAATGGATATACAAAAGTGTTAAAACAGAGTCCTGCATTGAGCGATTTTGGTAAAGACCCACTCAAGCTCCAATAAATAGTATACTTTTTAGTTTTCCTCATAAAGTAAGCAATACTCTACAGTTTGATTATGTATCATTTGGACAAAAGCTTGGCTATTGATGCATGAAAACAAACTCTCGTTTTTTCACTTACAAAAAATTAAATTTCTATTTCAAAAGTCATGATGGAAGAATTTAAATGAGACATGATAGTACTTTTTGATTGGAAGTCATGTGAACTAGAAGTACTACCGATTTTCAAAACACAGCAGACTGAAGCATTGAGTTAGATAAATTTGACTGTAAAGGGTGCGAGATCAAAACAGTTAGAACATGAATGAGGAGTTCTAGAGCAACTCTTTCTTGGGCTTTGACATTTTGACCAATCAAGAAAGAAGAAGAATTCACCTTCTGCCTTTTTAGCTACGCCAGTGGGATACTTGTCAGTTGTAGACGAAACATTTTCTGTAGATGAAAAGAGCTTTGCAAGGCGCAATTCTGTTATTTTCATTTGCTCCTGAGCTGCAATCTCAAATTCAACTAAAGGCCTGTTTGGATACCGTCGCTGTGAAGTGCAGTATAGACAAGAAATATGAGGCACCCACATCAGGAAATAGTCCTAAAGCTGTTTCTGGCATTGCAAAGACCTGAAAATGGTCTATCATTATATTGAGTAAAATCATGTAAACAAAAATTTAAGCTAATAAAACATTTGGATAGAAAAGCAGTTATAGTCATACTAGCTACAGTTATCATAAAAGACTTTACTCATCTTATATATGTATAAAAGATAGAATTCAATATATCACCAATTATATCAGACAATTCTTTGAGTGAGACAAAGTATAGAATTTAGTATCTCATACTGAATTGGAAACATACGGTATTCTCTGTAGCAACACGAAATCTACCATGAATAGAAGCACCCGCACCACCTCCCATGACAATTCCATTAAGAATTGAAATCTTTAATGTTTGCAGACCAAAATATGAAAAATTTCATGCATCAGAGTGATGAATGATAAAATAAAGCCGAACAAGAGTTCCTTTCATTAAGAAAATTATCACCTGTGGTTTACTGTATGTTGCCATCAAGTAATTCATTTGATATTCAATCTCAAAAAACTTTGCACCAAGCTTCCAGTTATCTATTTCAGAGAAGGTAATGAGATTAATTTTGCATTATTGTTAAATCCTACCATCAAAAACTTTCATATTAAATTTACTAAAGTATCTCCACTAATAAGCAATCCAGCAGGGGCTGCAAATTCACAAAGGCAAGCTTAAAGTAGCACAGAATTTGAGATACTAAGCTTCCATCCAAAAATGAGATCCTAATTATGCATGAATATTGAGGATTTTTCAGGTAACCTAATATGCATCAAGGTCAAAACATACCTCCGTTGGCATAACGAACAACAGCCGCAACATCACCACCAGCACAAAATGCCCTTCCATTTCCCTGATATTTAAACAAAAGATACATGATGAGAAGATGATGCCCATGATCTAGCTAGCCCCCCTTTATGTTCACAATTTACAAAATTACAAAAGATGTTTGAATGGCAGAACTCGGCCAAATATAAAAATAATGTACAAAACTACATGGATATTTTATCAGGTATAGAAATCCTCAAAGATGATGAGAAACTAATCAACTATGCGAGGATAAAGAACAAATCCTACAAATCAAGAGACAATAGACTAAGAGTTTGTAAACAAGTCTACAAATTGAGAGATAATAGGTTGAGTTTATTATTATGTAGGAGTCATGAGTCATCACTTCTTTTACTCTAGAAGTTTAACTTGTAGTGAGGATTTATATTCAGATTTTTTAGTATTATAAATAAAGGAAGGATGCAGAGCATCATAAGGAGGCCCAATCCATCCCAAACCCCCAGTTTGCAGGGGATAGGGAAATAGAGTGCGGGGTAGGCCAGATGGATTCCGAGCCATCCTAATCCACCCCACTCCTTTACCCTTCACTACCCTCTAAACAAAAAAATAGCGAAGAAGACTAAGACACTTCACTCAGCCCCTCAACCACAACCCCCCCCCCCCCAAAACCAAAAAAAAGAAAAAAGAAAAAAGAAAGATGCTACTCCTAAAACATCTTTCCTATTAAGCCCCTAATTCTATTCCTGCAAATCACCAAGTACATGAACAGGAATGGTCACTCCATTCCATCATTCTTCCATCCTCACTCTTATCCCAAAAAAGTCAATAATAAAAGCCAGATGTAATAGATCTGTACTGGTGCCGAAAGAGACTATTCATACCTTTCAGTTTGCTAAACATCTGCAGAGACCTCTACGTTCCCAAACGAATGTTTGTTGATTAATGAAATAGTGAATTGTTCGTAAGTATTCCTAGGCCTGTTTGTAACAACTATCTATTCATTTGAGTTTGTAACCAAATGGAATGGATCTCTCTCCCACTGTTCTAAGTCAGTAAAAGGTGTCCGAGGAGTCAGCAGGAAGTTGTGGAGATAATTATCTTCCAGTTAGGAGTCCAGATGGAAAAAATGATCATATCCTGATTCCTGAATGTATCTAACAGCAGAATACTCAGCTCCAGATTAAGTTATATGACATAAATTCCATTTCAGCATTGCAGGACTTGCTTTTATTTCTCTGTTGAAAACAGCACTATAGTTGCACTCTCAATGCACGTTACCTTCATGACAACCAGTTTCACATCAGAATTTGACTCATAGTCATAAAAAAGCTCCAGAAGCCGAGATACCTACATTAGGAACAGACAGGAAAACAAAGAAAGTTAAAGGGGCGAAAAAGTATATATAGAACTGGAATTCAACCGATAGAAGAAAAACTTCAAAAGACAAATATATATAATAAAAAACGGTACTTCTTATGACATTGTTAAATATTATTTTGAATTCAGATTCTGGGTCCTCAGGAGTATCCTGGATATCTAAGTCAACCTAAAGTAAAAGGCAGCAAATAATAGCAAACAATAAGAAAAAGTTAAAAGGAGTGTAAGATAATTTAAAACTGAAGGCTCAGTGTAAGCTTCAGACTTCGGCATTTTGCATCGCGTTTGCCATAAACTGATATTCCAATCATATTAGTACGAAACCTCCCCACTTAATGGGATAGGGCTTTGTTGTTGTTGTTGTTGTATTAGTACAAGACCCAAGTCATTCAACAAATAAACATGTGTAAAAAACATAAATAACAATAAAAATAATGTATCAAGAAATATTAGAAATGAGTGCTATACCATTTGAAAAGACAAGGCATTCAACTGCTTCGGCCTGTTTAGTATCAGAATTCTCGCAGACAACTTATGTTCCACCAGAATCTGTCTCTCATACATATACAGAAGAGAATCAATAAAAATTCAGAAAGAGAGAAAGAAGAAGAAAGACGCCAATATAGTTGAGATACTCCAAGAGAATCAACAGACGAATATTGCACCACAAAGACTAACAAAGCCTCATGAAAAGTGAAGTCACTAAAAGCAGATGTGTTATTACAATGAATCCTCTTAGTCATAATAATGAAGTGGAGAAATGATTTCAACCCACTGATGAAACGTCATATTCAAAGCAGTCGATGACATAATAATTAACGCACCTATTCTTAATCAATCAATAACCACAGTTAAAGTGCCCATTTCCCCCTCTTACCAGTTGAAAAGAATATCTTCACATAAAAAGAATTCCGTATCAAGGGAGAAAAGCCACCGCGTGAAATTTTGCTTAGGATGAAATTATAAGGAAATAAGAGTAGATATACAAAATTTGAGGGGGGGGGGGGAACCGAACTATTTATTTTTTAATTTTGTAGTCATAAGCAACTCTTCATATATTTGAATAGAAACTGAAGCAAAAACATAACAATAAAGTGATAGAAACGTCACCATGATTCAGAACACAAATCCAAGTAAAACTTTTTCTAGAATATGAATGTAATTAGCTGATTAAGCACCGACATGTTCAGGTAAAATGGAGGTGACATAAAAAAGAGAAAATGAAAAAGAACACCCAAAAACAGCATATCTTGAATTATCATCAGAACAAGATTGGCACCCAACCCTCGAAAACAATAAGCATGAGTGTCCCCAGTCCATTCCATTGACAAAATGTTACCAATTAAGAAGAAAAATAAAACAAATAAATTAAAAAAGGAACAGGATTTCGAGGCTGCTCCGACTTCGTACAGTCTCCAAACAAAGCAAGTGAATTCAAAATCTACGAGTGTATCATTTGAAGATAAACAGACCTGATCATCGTCGCCTTTGATGAGGGAACTCATAATTTGTTAACTTGAGAAAAGCTGTTTGAACTCAAACTCTGCATCGTCCGGTGGGCGGTGGTAGACAGGAAGGATTATGAATATATAGTTGTCCAATTAATCATTTAAAAATGGTTTTTCCAGAAATTTTGGTAATTAATAATTTAATAAGTAATTACATTTCCGTATATTGAATAAATCTCAGTGAATTATGATTAATTTTGATTTTTGATGGTTGGTAGTTTTGTACTTTTCTCTATTATTTTCTTAACAGTTATTTTACTTGCTTTTCATAAAACGTATTAATTACTGTTTTTATTTTTAATTTAATTATATTTTTCAGTACAAATTTTTGTATTTTTATTATGTAATTTTTTTTAATACTGTATACGAAAAAAGTCACTTGAAAAATGTCTAATTATAGTATAAATGAATATATAAAAAATGTATACAAAATATTGTCCTGCGGTTAAATTAGTTTTGCTAGGTACTAAGGTGTATGTATTTTAAATTCTAATTGGAGGCCAAATATTTAACTTACATTTCACAATGTTAAACATTACATTTTCTCTTAACATATTTACTTAATTTTTAATTAATTAATTTCATTTTTTTGTTTAAGTTCGGACCAAAAATAAATAAGAAAACATATTATAATATTCTCCCGAGACCTTTTTATAAGGACATGTTAATTATATTTATGATACTAAGAAAAATTTAGTTACCGATAGTTAATTGTGGAGGAATGGCATTTTCGAAAATTAGTTGTCAAAATTTCATTCAATTTTATAAAGTTTTTATATTAAAGACTAATGGATAAAACTTTATAACTAGTACAAAGTCTCAAATTCAAATCCATGTGAATACAGAAAATGCCTTAAGAAGATCCAATTGAACCCAACGCGAATCTGATTCAATCAAATAGTCATTTAAAATAAAAGAACTCTATAAAGAGCACTAGAGGCAGTTTAGTATTATGGATTGAATTATAAATTCTTTTTGTTCTGAATTAGAAAGAGAAACAAGCTAGTTTGGAATCCTTAGGAAGTAGTAAGGTTCATTACAATTTATAAGAGATATTATCCACAAATCATAAATAATGCTATCTCCAGCCCTTAATATAAGACTTCGTTTGACTTTTATTTGATTCTAAATATAAAATCTCAATTTATTTTTTCTCTCATATTTATCCCTTTTTTCTCAAAGTGGTCTTTTTACTAATGGTAATTCTAGTCAATACACTTGATTAGCAAGGATATTTTAAAAAAGACAATACCTATTTATTCCAAATAATAACTTAAGTTATTTTCTTAATCTTCTCAAATTAATCAACTAGCTCTTATAATTAGGACTAGAAGTAATATAATGCATTTTTCTCATAAGAATGGGAACATTACAAGGAACCTATCTTTCTGGCTGTAAGGGGGATCAGGTCATCAATGGATTTGATGGATGGAGGAGCATTATGAGAATTGTTTGGTTAGTGTTTTGCCATTTCTTGTGAAGCCTTCTGTTGAGCTTTGGCGGCATGTAACTCCATTGCAGCTTCAGCCTCTTTGGCTAATCTAATCTCATGAGCTACTTCCATTCTTGCTTTTGCAATGTCCTTCTCTGCCTGCAAGTTTTCATAAATGGGATTCACCCAGCTCAAAAACTTATCAAGCCACGAAAATAATAGGGAGGGGGAGAATGTTTGAATTACACAATCGTCCATTGAAAAATTTTACTCTCTCTTATTCTAAAGGTAAAAGTTAGCTAACAAAGTTATAGAGATTAGAAAAATTAAGTTATTTATTTATTAAAAAAAAAAGTGTGTCAGTCTTCTTAAAATACCACATTTAATCATTTATATTAAAATCACTCCTATTGATGAAAACCCCATTTAATATGTGCAATTAATTAGGGATCATTTAGGAGAAAAAATTATAAATTTGAAAGACAAAATGAATTAAGATCTTATACTTATGGTGAAAATAAACTTCTCAACTAGTTATTACATTTAGGATGAAAGATTAGAGGAAGTAATATTTTTATATAAATGTATTTTAATCTAATATCTCTGAATTTCACTACAATTTTAGTTAGTTATTTAATATCTTTCTTAATTAGCTGTGTTAAGATTATCTTTCAACCCCTCCTCACTAGATTTGCTCCGTATACAAATTTCAGGAATCCAACTCCTACTACTCACACCAATTTAAGGTAATGATTAGTATATACGATTTTAGAGGACAAATAAGTTGGAATGGAGAGAATATTTTGTTCGGAGAAAAATAAGGAGATATCAACGAGGTGTGTGTATTAACCTATTTCTTCTATATTTCTTCATTGTCCCTTTTTCCTTAACGAAACTGGAATAAAATGAATGTCCTACCTGTTCTTCAGCCTTTGCTTCGGCCTTGGCGCTGCGCAAGGCGGTCATATCTTGTATTTTCTCCTTCACAGCCTGCATTTTTATTATTTTATTATTTTGCTTCAATCAACCTTGCAATAAAAACCCAAAGATGCAAGAAGATAACACTGCAAACTGCTTCTTATATTTTGGCTTAGAATTGAAAAATAAAAAGGCTAAATATATTTACTGGCTCTCATTCTCTCCCTCTCTTTCTCAACTCTATGGTTCTTTCTTCTACCAATTGTCAATTATACACCCACATACTATATTTTATCTTCCCAAGATAGAAGAAATATACACGTATGTAAGATTTCGTTTTTCAGAAAAACAAAGGCTTCTCCTATAATTAGGAATTGACCACAAAATAGGAAATTAAAAAGTGAGAATGGTATGCTTAACAAGATACACACAAGCTTATTCATTGTGAATATTTGAAGCTTGATTTTCAGCTTAAAGAAAGCGTGCAGATATAACAGTAACTTCCATATATTTAAGCACTTACACGATATTTGAAAATCTTTCTACAAGCCATCACAGAGTTGACGAGAACACCAATCTGGCCAATTTATTGACCTATTCTACATGACTTGGCCGATCCTCCTTGGTCCTAGCTTCCACGATAAGTAGAGAATGAGAATGGTGAAAGCAGCAGAGGCACATGAAAATGTTGCCTTGTTTGCGACTGCCGGATTTCAAAAACAATCGATACGTATGGAAAGAAACCATTTGGGTTGTACTTCCCAGTGTTGAAGCTTATCCTGTATATCCCCGGATCAATGTCATCAATTATTCTCATCAATTGACCACTACGACCATCAGAATCTGTAGTTGAAGACCCTTGAAACACCCAACTGCCACTATCCATTGCTCCAAAGGTTGGACGAGTTTGTGTGTTCATCCACTTCTCCAAAAGCACCTCGATCCCCGAAGCCGGAGAACCTTGAGAAACATCCAACACATGAGTGGTAATAGGCGGACGGTTTCTAGCATGACTTTGAATTGGTTTTCCAGTTGAAGCTTCTGAAGCAGCATTCACATGATCGCCTATAATGCTTAAACGACCTTCTAGCATTGTTAAAGATGAAAAATCAAAATAGGCCAGGGAAAGGGAGAAAAATTATATGATCAGGAAAGCGGTTGAATACATAATTGAGTGCCAAATGTTCTAATCGCAATTTCCTTAGGAAAAGCATAATGCTAAAATATTGAAGTTTATTTTTCCGGACCAGATCATCAAAACCATGAAAGAACAAAAAGAAGCTAAATCTAAAAGACCAAAACAAAAAATTGAAAGGGAAAAACGGCTGGTGGGATACAAAAAAGGATGAGTACTCATACAAGCAAAAGAGACATGAGAAGCCAATGCTGGACCTACGGAAGTAGGTGTTGCGTAACATGACACTCGTCACACTCATAGTGCGGTAGGGTAAAGGAAAAAAAGAGTACGAAGATGGTTTTCCAAAATGAAATTCGAACATAAAAATGGATATACAAAAGTGTTAAAACAGTGTCCTGCATTGAGCGATTTTGGTAAAGACCCACTCAAGCTCCAATAAATAGTATACTTTTTAGTTTTCCTCATAAAGTAAGCAATACTCTACAGTTTGATTATGTATCATTTGGACAAAAGCTTGGCTATTGATGCATGAAAACAAACTCTCGTTTTTTCACTTACAAAAAATTAAATTTCTATTTCAAAAGTCATGATGGAAGAATTTAAATGAGACATGATAGTACTTTTTGATTGGAAGTCATGTGAACTAGAAGTACTACCGATTTTCAAAACACAGCAGACTGAAGCATTGAGTTAGATAAATTTGACTGTAAAGGGTGCGAGATCAAAACAGTTAGAACATGAATGAGGAGTTCTAGAGCAACTCTTTCTTGGGCTTTGACATTTTGACCAATCAAGAACGAAGAAGAATTCACCTTCTGCCTTTTTAGCTACGACAGTGGGATACTTGTCAGTTGTAGACGAAACATTTTCCGTAGATGAAAAGAGTTTTGCAAGGCGCAATTCTGTTATTTTCATTTGCTCCTGAGCTGCAATCTCAAATTCAACTAAAGGCCTGTTTGGATACCGCCGCTGTGAAGTGCAAAACAAGTTGTGATTAACGTCAAACTTTGAAGCTCAAACTCACCGAGCATTTCCACTAAATGAATTGGGCATGAAATTGCAGGAAATAGAATTTCATTTCACCAAATCCTTTTTCTTTCTTTTTGCCTGATTTTCATCAAATCAATACGAAAAACAAATGATGAAAAGCATGTAAGACTCAAGCCTCAGAAAGGAATATATATTTCCTAAAACACAGACAAAGAAATAATAGAACGCTAAACAACACCATTCTGAAGATCTGACGTTTACAGAACGAATAAAAGGTTCCAAATTCACACCACTCATACCAACTGAGCAGGCTTATACTCTTCCTATTAACATTTGATTTTCTTCTTCTTCTTCTTCATTTTTTTTTTTCCCCTTTCTAACAAGCTCTGATACCCCACAAGTAAACAATGTCATTAGACTTCTCAACATGCCCAACTTGCTTTCCATCCCACGTCCTATTACTTTATCATGTACTCAATGATTTCAATACTTTTTAGACCAGCGCTACACCTTGCAAATATTTGGTAGTTGTTTGTCACACAATAGCCTTCAATCCTCTTTCTTTGATTCTTTCCCTGTCATAAGCAGGTCTTTCTTTCACCACAATCTATCCCAAAAAGACCAGAAATAACAAAACCCACCATTTGATAATAAAGCTCACCCCTGTCAATGTAAGCATTAGGAAGAAGATCCTTGTGTTCTAACACCTCTTTTTTCATTCCTTAGTCCAGTAAGACTCAAGGTTGTTAAACTTGGGAAAGGAAAGGATAAGAAGCACAAGCTCTTATCTATAAAATCAACTAAAATAAAGCATATTCAATTATATTCGTATACTTGAGGCAGGCAGTTATATACCATAGTCATTTAAGATATTTAGGTTTTATAAGCAGATAGTAAGCGTAAACAGTTTCTTTAGGCTCATATTGTGACTTGGAACTCTTTACAGTTCTCATTCATAGTCTGCATTATACAGATTCATGATTCTAGAGTTCTTAACTATTAACATTCCAGTCCATTGTTAGATCGTTCATAAAAACCATAGGCTATATTCTCTAACTAGTATGAAAATTCCCTAACAAGCATTTAACCATGGAATGGGTATGTATTCTATTTCTGAAACAAATAAACTGGAATACTGCATGGTTTGCTCCAAAAAAACAAGTTTCCTTGAGATGCAGCTAATATCAAATTATGAAATTATCAGTATCATCACAAAAAATAAATAAATAAAATAACCTAGCTCAAGCCACACCAAATATCGCCTTTGCCTTTCCTATATCAATTTTGTGTCCCCACTTCATATCGGATCTACACTTTCAATTTCAAATCCCAAGACTCCTAATTCAAAAGGTAAGCAGGACCCAACAAATAAAATGCAGCATTCCAAATTCTCTCCAAAATGCTCACAAAGATAAGCCAAAAGCAACATTGTATCATATTCAACATTAAGTATACAAATCCCACAACATACTCAAAAATATCATCTTTCATTTTCAGGTCAAAAATCTAAGTCAACAAAAGCAAAACAGTCATTCATCTGCAAAGAAAAATAATTAACTATATAATAGAAATGGAAAGAACACAAGAATCAACTAAATTTACAATCAACTTGGAATTATGAATTCAAATTTACCTTCAATTCAGCAAGAATCTCATCAGTACTTCTCTCAGATGCACAAATGATAAATATAAAACCAAACTTTTGTCTATAGAGAGCATTCCATTCATATAATTCCTACAAAAGTCAAATGGACCAAATTTAGGTGACCACCTTTCATTTATAAATTGTACATCAGCTAATTCATGAAATAATGTTTCCAACAATAAAGCCAATAGATATGTAATCTGTCAAATCTGCTAAATGGGGGCTGCAAGTACAAAGGACAAACAGAAACCAGATAAAATTTTATGGATCATGATCTCTAAAGTAAGTTGATAGCAGAGATCAGTATCCATAAAATTTGAAGACATAGGAAACAGTCACTAAATGGAACTTCTAAATTGATGAAAGCTAAAGCTAAATGTAAACCTGTAAGCTAGAACCTGTAGCAGTAGCTAAAGCAGTTGATTGTTCACCCTTACTCCACCTGAAAAATAGTTTCTCAGACAAATTAGTATCATTATTATCATCCGATGTATGTCATTCCCCCTCCCTCCACCTCTTGTCTTTTCAGTCAGTTATTTTCAAAATAATGAAGGCCCCTGAAAGAATTGCATAAGAAGCAAGCAAAAAGGGACAAGTGAAAAAATACAAGCAAGAAGACAAAATCACACGCATCAAGTATACCATTTTCTCCTTTTTCCTTCCTGCTATTTACTCTCAATGGCACACTAATTTTTCAAGCGGCCTGCGTCAGTTGAAATTCAAGACCTCTATCCTATTAAAGAATTATTTCCAAAAAAAAAAAAAAAACAGTACAGCCAACTTCAACAAAAAGTTGGAGTTCAAATGAATCGTCAACCTTCTTAAAATAAGCAGCAACCATTTGCTACGACACGGAAGAATTTTTGAATTCTAACTGAACTTATAGTAGATTATCAACGTCAACTTAAGAAGCAGGTAATTAACTATAAATCCAATTCCGACGTCAAACCAACTAATGAATCCATGATTGTTTTGATCCCTTTGGGAACCAATTATCAGTCGTTTCATAAGGAATTTCCCAAAGTCCAAATGAAAAATAAAAGAAAAGGAAATTTCTACACTAATTCGAATTCTAAAATTTGCCGGGAAAATGAACACAATTTAAGGAATTACTGAACTGAGCACTGGTTTCACTGGTCGGAGCGGAAGCACGGCTTTCTCCGATCTGAGGATGAGCCGAGAAAGCCTCAAGCCAGCCATTGACATCAACCTTATTGAACCAAATGTCTCGAGCAGCAGATATGGCGGCTTGCAAAGAAGAGAAATGAGATGCTAAGGCCATCTCTTTGGCGAATCTGGTACTCCCGCAGCATCCTAAGAAGTCCTTCTCGTCAAAACGCAGATCCATTCTTCAAATACAAGACCTCTGTAATTGGCAAGAAAAGGGAAGTTCAATGATTCAATCAAAACGAAGATGATGAAGAGTTGATGAACGAACGGAGAGGTTGGGAATACTGTGCGGGCACCGCCGTCCAGATTGTCAGCTTGTCACTGGCTATTAGGCCCCGGTCAGTGGGGACGGTCGATTTTGCTCGGACCCAATGTAATTGAAAACGGGGTTGATAATTTAATATAGTTTAACTTAACAAAAAATTGGGATAAATCCTCTTTAAAAATTTAATTAGCAAATAGGTCTTAAAGATTGTGTGCAACTTAATTTCTATTCAGTACAACTTAACTTTTTTTTGTATGCAATTTATCTTTCCTCATGTACAATAATCTTTCTTTGTATGATATGCAACTTAATTTTCCTTTATACAAATAAAATTCTCTTATGTGCAAATTATCTTTTCTATGTGCAAATTAATTCTTTATATCCAAATAATGTTATGTACAAACTATCTTTCCTTTGTGCAACTTACCTTCATTTGCATGCAACTAATCTTTCATTATGTAATCAATCATTCTAGGTCCCATTTACCAAATAAATTTTCAATGAGAGATTTATCCTCAAATTTCCCTTAATCATAAACGAGGCTTTAATTTGTTGCTTAACTTTAAAAACTTTAAAAAGCATATATTTCATCTTTTAATCCTAATTTGTTAGGCTCAAATAATGATTTTTTTAACAATAACAATTATTTTGAAAATTAAATTTAATATGTTAGTATTTAAGAATGTCTTATCAATATTTAAGACCTTAATATCATTATTTTTTATTGGCCAAAATTCTTTTTAACAATTTTAGAAGCAAATAACTAAAAGTATATTTTTTAAGTTAAGGAACCATATTAAAACTCTCTATAAAGTTAAACAACTAAATATATACTTTAGCCTATAGTTTTTTATCCCTTAAGTTTAAATTTATTTTTGTGTTAGTTCATCAAATTTCAAACTAATGATTTTAGTCCTTAAAATTTAGTTCATTTTAAAATATTACTCCTACAGTCCTTAATATAGGACCTAATTGTTAAATTAATTTTGGTCCTAAATATTTTAGATCTATTTCTTATATTTATCAATTTTTTCTAAATTATCCATATGGATACTTCCTCAACCAGAATCAAATAAGTAAGGGAGGAAGGATATTAAAAAAAAAATGATCAGGATATTTTAGGAAAAGCAAGTCATATTTCTTATAATTAACTAACTTACCTAAGTTCCTTAATCTAATCAAATTAGTTAAATAGGTCTTATATTAAGGATCGAAAGAGTATTAACTATGCTAAATATATTAAAATATCATAAACATGGTTAAAGTAGTGATATGAACACAGTAGATGGTACACGAAGAAAAGACAAAGCAAGTCCTCAAAACGCAATAGTTTAGCCTATAACCCTCGGGGTTTTCTTTTTTGTTGTTCATTTCATGAGTTGTTTATTGCATTGCATTTTGAGAATTCATTCCCTTCTGTACAAAAGTTCTTTGTATTACATTTTGAGGATCTATTCTTTTTTCTCCCTATTTTTTATACAAATTGTATTTTTTCTATTATTCAGACAAAATTTACTTAAGAACTATCTGGTGAGTCCCCATTATCACTTTTAATATCATTTATCGCACTTCAATAGATTTTAACACCGTTGTATTTGCAAAAACTAATGTTTTTAGTTAAACTAATTTCAAGGACTAAAACATGAGTTTAAAATTTAAGAGACCAAAAACTAAAATTGGCTCAAATTTTAGGGACCAAAAATTATATTATCTCATTAAAAAATCAAAATTTTTAGAAATTCTTTTGACAACAAGTTTAAAAAAAAAACAAGAAGAAATGACTCTCACAATTTTATTATAAAACAAATACATGAAATTAGGGAAATGATGGAAGAGAGCGAGACAAAAGCGAGAGGTAGATGTGAAAAGAGCAACGGACATAGGGTGACATGAGAGAGAGAGAGAGACAAAGGCATAGGGGTGAGTGTTTCGTTGAGCTTTGTTTTTGGAAAATCAAAGGGTGCTAGGGATATGGAGAAAACAGATAACAAACCAAATCCTGTTGTTGGTCGAAGGACACTTCTTGCTTCTTATAAGGACAAATTACTTTCGTTAGAATGCTCGGGTTATCTAAGAAAGCATCATGAGCAAAACAATATCAAGCATGGTGCCAACCATGGATGAACTCTCTCCTTATCAAACTTTTAGGGGCTGAGGTGCCAAGGTATATCTTGATTGATAGAGAGGAAAGGATGCGCAAACCGCAACAACCCATGAAGATCGCACCACCTAATAATGGATATTATACAGTTTCATTCACAAGTAGGGAAGACAGAGACCACATGTTTCAAGAAGGACCGTGGATGACAAATGATCATTATTTACTGGTGCAATGTTGGAGACCTAACTTTAATCCATGGAAAGCAGATACTCAAAGAAGGATAGCAACGGTGACACATCCCAGATTTGCCTATAGAATTTGATAATGTGGATTCGTTGTGGATGATTGGAAATATGATCAGAAAAACCATTAAAGTAGATAGGTCTACATCTATCCACGAGGTTTTGCACATAATTGTGTAGAGATTGACCTTGAACAACCACTACTTCTGGCTTTCACAATGTGGGGGGAAGACAAGCAGATTGCGTATGAGGGTTTACAGCAGGTTTGCTTTAAGTGTGGTATGTATGGTCAAGTGACGGGTACATGTCTGATGTTACAAAAGACCAATGAAAAGGAGGTCCTGAAGGTTAATAAAGAGGAAGCATGGAAAGGGCCAATGGATGTGGAGAAATGTGCTGAGAAAAATGTTAAGCAAGGGTCACAAAAGGTGAGCAGCATACGTTCTCAATTTTTAGCAACCGAAGCTATTTCTCCTAGTAATGATAATCATTTGGGTCTACAAATGTTGATAAGGTAAGATTTTTGCAAGGTTGTTATGGAGGTGGATATGAAGGGAGTGGATAAAGCGAAGATACCAAAGCAATAATATGGGATCACGAGAAGGGTGGAAGGAAAAGATATGATTTAGTTAATGGGATCTAGGCAGGATATGAAAGAGAAAAAGGTAGGATTAGATTTGAATAAAAATAGGAAATTTGGCAAAGAAATTAATAAAGAGGCAGTGTGGGCTTGAAAAGAGAGAATAAAGAGAAGCCCATTATGCATTGAAAGGAAAACAAGATGGCTGGGAAAATAAAGATTAAAAAGAAAGAGATTTCTAGAAAGGAAGATAAGCCCAATCCGATGACCAACTCCTTTGATGCTCTCTAGGAAGGGCTGTCAAAGATTATGAAGCCCATAACTGAATCAAATGCATCAACTCCTAGAGTAGGCTGTGAGAAGAGGGACGACATACATTCTAGCATAAATATGAATATTCACACGAAATCTCGTGAGGGAGATGGTGGTTAACCTGGTAAGGGAGGGTACATTTATGAGAATGATGTTGTGATAATTTCAAATGATAAAGGAATGGCTCTAGAGAATATAGATGATGTTCAGATGAGGGACAATAAAGACCCATCAACCTCTGATATAGTTTCCTTATGAATTTCATGGCACAGAATTCAAGGGGCATCAGCTCGAAGTCATTTCCCAGCCTGGTATAGGAAATGAAAAGACATTATAATTTGGATTTTCTTGCTTTACTTGAAACGAGATCTAATAGAGAGAAGACCGAAGCAGAATCAAGAATCTTGGTTTTTAAGATTTCACCTTTATAGATGCAGATGGTTCTAGTGGGGGTATTTAATGCCTTTGGAATACTGGTATTAGGAAGATAGGAGTCTTAGAACGACATCATCAATTCATGCATTTGAATATCGAAACTAGTAGACTAGAAAGCTAGGTCATGACCATAGCATACCCTAGTCCCAACAGCATGGTATACAAAATCTTGTGGACTAAGCTCCTACATCTAAATACTAGCATTCATGTTCCATGGATGCTTCACAGTGATTTTAATGTGACTCTCTTGGATTTAGAATGACATTCGGGTGCTACTTTTCATTTATCTATTGATTGGGACTTCAGGCAGTGGTTTGAATCTATGAATCTCTTAAATCTTGAGTTTGTGGGACCTAAGTTCACTTGGAGGAGGGGTAATATGGAAGTTCTACTAGACCGTATTTTTGCTAATGAAGCATAGTGCGTCCGTTATTCTAATGCTAAGGTAACCTATCTTCTATTTTTTAAAGCTAATCACCGTCCTACCTTGCTTCGTCTTAACTGTTGCTTAAAGGTTACAAAACCTCAATGCCCATTTTGCTTCATTGCATCTTGGGTTCTTTATGAGGACTTTAAGGAGTTTATGAAGGAGTAGAAAGAATCTCCTGAGTGGAATGACAACATTGCATAATTTACTGATGCTTGTTTTTATTGGAACAAAATTGTGTTCGATCATATTAAGGGTAAAAGAGAAAATTGATGAGAAGACTTGATAGAATTAATAAAGCCAATGAGGGGGGTTCGAGTAGATGTCTTTAAAGAGCTTCAATCTGATTTATGGAAAGAATTAGAAAGTGTTCTAATGCAAGAATCCTTATTATGGGCCTAAAAAGTTAGAGTGAATTAGGGTATTTACGAGGATAAAAACTCACTCTTTTTTCATGCTTGTACGAATGGGAGAAAGAAGTCAAATAAGATAGATGCGATGTGTTTAGAGGATAGTAGATGGAGCTATAATTATGAGGAGATAAAAAAAAACAAAGCTATACTTTTCTTTGCCTCCCTCTTCTCTGAAGAATGATAGGTACGTAGCAAATTGAAATGTGGTTTATCGTATCCTTTGCTTCATAAAGTACATATAAGAAACTATGCTCAGGATATGAATAAGAGTGAAATTAAGGCTGCAATTTTTAGCATGGGCGCATTAAAATCACCCGATCCTAATGGCTTTAATGTGCTCTTCTATCAAAATCAATGGAATAATATATGGACCTTTATTGTTCACTTCATTAAATCTCTTTTCACCAATCCTAGTGCGATTAGAAAAGTGAATGGGACTTTGATTGTTCTTATCCCAAAGAAAGATCCCC